GCTCCTGCCCACAGACAGAGTTGTGGGTGCTGTGGGGTGCAGGACCAGATGAGGGACTGGGAGAGCCCCAGAGCTGCCTCCAGCCAGGCTGCCACTCACCCGCCTGGCTCACACCAGCCCCCTGACACCCGCCAAGGCTCTGTGAGCCAGTCCTTCCTTCCCTTCCTGAGACTGTGGCCACACGGCAGGCTCGGCCCCATGTTCCAAGTCCCCGCCTGCCCCCAGTCCTATCGTGAAGCAGCAGCTCACAGAGACACGGCAGGGTCCCAAATTCATCAAGAAACCTCAGTGCTTCTGTTTCCTCTTCATATGCACCAGGCAGGTGAGTAGCCTCCACCCCAAGTGCTGGTGCTCAGTAGAATAAATATATCCGCAGGTACCAGCTCACCCAGCCCCCAGAGAGGGGTGGGGTGGGGAGTCAGTGTGTGTCCGACGAGGGGAGAAGACAGAGTCTGCCTCAGATCACGGCAGGAACGTCAAGCAGTACAATTAACACCATTCAACTGATGTCTAAAGGAGTCTCCAGCGCTTCTCCATGTGAGCCAGTCACACGTCTTGTACAGCCCAGGCATCCCGGTGTGTCACATCCTGCCACGACCCAAGGGCAAGTCAGCTCCCGCGAGCCCCAAGAGGCACGGGCAAACCCTAAACCCTCGAGGGCATCCCGTGAGCGCCCATGCCGGGCACCTGGGGCCCGGCCCGGCTGGGGAGTGCGGCAGGAGCAGAGCCTTACCGTTCTCACCTCCGGGGAGGCGGGTACAGGGATGGGGCGGAGCCTTGCTGGCTGGCCACGATGGCTGTGGAGGAGAGACCTGCGGGGAGAACAGGGGTCAGCAGCTGCTAGGCAGGGCCCTCGGGGACAATGTGAGCGTCCCATGGCCCAAGGGCAGGTGCAGCCTGCCCCAGCCCAACCCAGCCCCACTCTCACCTGTTGCATAGGGCAGGTTGTACTGTGCTGGCAGCAGCGAGTAGCCGAGGTGGTGGTGGTGGTGATGTGTGGAGAGCAGGCGCTGCGAGGGCGACGTGCGGGGCCGGTCAGCGCTCCTCTCCCCTGCCCCCGCTCCTCCAACACTGCTGCAGCTCCCACTGCCCCCCACCACCCCACAGCCACTGCGCTCCCGCTCCTGAGACGTCTTCTCGCTTATCTGGGGAGGAGAAAGCACACGCTGCTGAGGGACATGACCAGCGACCCCAGGGCAGGTACCAGGATGTTCCCTCACTGTCCAAGCTCTGTCTCCCAGCTCAGCCCAGGAGGATGGAGACAGCCCCCACATGCCACCTGCCAGTTCCAGGGCTGACTGAGGACAAGTGTCACCTGACTGCCCTGTGCTGGGGCACAGGTTTGGCTGGTCCATCCCAAAGGGCTTGTAATGCAGGAATCCATGGCTGCAGGTCCCCCACAGCAACAGAAACAGCAAAACCACATGACAAACAGAGCTGCTCCCACCTCATTATAGGATCTAGGGACTACCCCACAGAGCTGGATGAAGCCAGCACCCTGCTGATGCTCACCGTGGGTGATTTGCTTTTGTAGTGGCTGGCATGCTGCTGCAGGATGTCCAGGGCCTTGGACTCCGAGCTGGATTTACAGCTCACGCTGGGGCTGGCCCGGGACTTGTCACTGTCATCACTGCCGGATGCCTTGCTCCCATACGGAGAGAAGGAGTAGCTGGAGGGTAGGTATGATCCTGGGGGAAAAAGAGCAGTCAGGGCACCTGGAGCATTCAGGCAGCACAGTGAGAGCATGTGGCTCTGTATGTGTGTGAGAGGATGTCCCACAGCCACCCCCCACCCCGAGAGCAGGGACAGCTGGCAATGGACACCCCCTGAAGGCCCCAGCTCCCTACCTGGGTAGTTCTGCATCATGACGGTGGGCATGGCACGGTAGCTGGGGTGGTTGGGGTCATACGACTGGCTGTAGGAGTAGCCGTGCATGTACGGGATGTAGGACTGATGCTGCGTGAGGGGTGAGGACACGGGGACGTGGACACTGGGCCTGGGGTCCTTCCCCACCATGCGAGCCTCCTCGGTGGGGGTCAGCTTGCACTCGGAGCTGCTGCTCTCCTTCCCGTCCTCCTTGGACGAGGCTTCTTTGCTTCGATTTCTTTCTTCCTTCAACTTTCGGTCCCTCTCCTCTTTCCACCGCTCATCCTCTGCCTTGATGTCTGAGTACTTTGCTGGGTACACGTAGGTCCACATCCGGGGCTCAGCTTCCTGCAAGAACAGCCAGCCATCAGAACAGCTGCCTTCCCCTGGTCCTGCCTGTCCCAAAACCAGCCTATGTTTGGAGAAGACTGGCAAACCCCATTCCCTTTCTCTGAGCTCTCCTTGGCCCACCCATGGCCTCCACTTCCTGCAAGAACAGCCAACCACCAGAGCAGCTGCCTCTCCATAGCCCCACCTGTCCCAAATCCAGGCTGGGTTTGGAGGAGACCAGCAAACTCCATTCCCCTTCCCCAGGCTCTCCCTAGCTCATCTGTGGCCTCACAGCCCCACCCTTTTTCTCCCATGGAGTCCCCACCACGTGCTCTCTGAGATGATGGCCCCGTCAAAGCCCAGTGAGCGGCTTCCTCCAGGAGCAAACCCAAGGAAGGCAGGGCTGGCAGACAGGGCAGGGCATTACCTGTCTGTACCAGAGAACAGGGTCCACCTCCGCCTGCCGGCCACACTCGGAGCCAGCCTTCGTCTCAGCCGTCTCCTTCCCCAGGTGACCAGGCTCACCCAGCTTCACCTTCAGCCCCTCGGCAACCTGGCTGCTGGACAGCTTGGACGAGTCCTCCAGCTTGGGGATGATGACTGATTTGGCCATATCAGGACCTCCCTGCTCCTTGGGCTTGCTCAGCCCCGACTTGACGAGGTCTGTGAGGCTTGGGGCTTTGGTCAGCGTTGGGGGCATGGGTGGCTTCTGCTTCCATTCTTCTTTGAGTGCCGCCTCCCTCTCTTTCAAGCCCAGCTCTGCCTTCTTCTCCAGCCCTCGCTGCTGCTGCTGCTCCAGGCTCTGCCTCTGCTTCTGCTGCTCCTCGTACTGCTGGCGGTAGGCAGGGTTGGTGCTCAGCAGGTGGGCATGGTAGCCCTGCTCGCTGTAGCCGTAGGGTGGCACGTAGGCGTACTGGTTGTAGTAAAGGGACTGCATGTACATGTTGGGGCGCTGCTGGATGACCGAGGGCTGCTGGCTGGAGCCACTGCCGAGCTCTGCCTTCTTCTCTTCACAGCCTTCACTCTTCACCTTCACCTCTGGGTTCTCCTGCTCCTCGTCCTTCTTCAGCTTCAAGGTCTGTGTCTCGGCTGCAGACTGCCCGCCGGGGTTCAGGGGTCCCGGGCTAGCCTGGGGGTAGCCAGGGGAATAGTAGGTTTCAAAGCCTTGGTAGAAGGGAGACTCTTTGCTCTGCGGTTGTGGTGGGAAAAGAGCTTTTTTGGCGCCTTCCTTGACCAGCTGCTCTGGATCCTTTGCCTTCACACTCTCCAGCTTGCCCTCCCCATCCTCCCCAGCATCAGAGATGTCCGAGTAGGCCGGGCTGTTGGTCTTCACCGAGCTGGCCTCTGCCCCATTCTGGGTGACAATGTGCAGTGGGGTCAGGGGCTGGGCTGGGTTGGTGTTCTCCAGCCTGCTGGCCCCACCAATGGAGGGACTGGGGGCGTTGTCAGTGAAGCTGTAGATTTTATCTGCCTCGGCCTTGATGCTGGCGAGCCGGCTCTGGTGGGGGTCAGATGAACCGTTCAGCAGCCCCTCGCCTTTCATCCCCAGCTCACTGGATTCCCCCCGGAAAGGGCTCTTACCTTCCTCTGCTCTGCAGGCTTTGCCAGGAGTCAAAGGGTTTTCCACCTCTTTGGGCTCTTTCTTCTTCTTGTCTTTCTTCTTCTTCTCCTTGGAAGGGGTGAGGGCAGGGTTGACAGCGAAGGGCTCTCCCATCACTGTTGGCTTGGGCTGGATGGGTTTGAGCTGGGGGCTGTTGGGCATGGTCTGGACCACAGTTGTGGCCAGGCCAGCAGAGGAGCCAGGGCTGGCTGTGGTCAGCGTGGCAGTCTGGAAGGTGTAAATCGGCTGCGGGGGGATGGCTGGTGCAATGGGTCTGGCAGACTTCAAGCTTTTGGAAGGAATCTTCTCCTGTTTAGCACCAGAGGCCTTCTTTGACTTGTCCTTATCAATGCATCGCTTCTCCATAGAGTCAAAGTCATCGTTACTCGTCTCATCGGCCACCGAGGGACCATCCTCAGAGCCATCATTGGACAGAGCACCCAGGTCTGTGTCCCCTTCCCCACCCACCTTCTTCTTGCAGGGGACCTTGGCGCTGAACTTGCTGGATGGGGAGGGGCTGTGTGGCTCCATCAAACGCACCTTGGGGGTGGCCGAGCGCGCGGGTGAGAGGGAACCCTTCTGTGTTCCAGCAGCACCATTGCAGCTCCCAATGTCGGCATGCAGGGAGGGCTCCTCACCATACTCACTGTCCACATCTGCTTCTAGCTTGCTGTCGTCATCCGTGTGTGCGTGGGCCTGGTGGTACTTCAGCCCATTGATATGCTTGTACTTCTTGTTACAGTTGGGATGGGGGCAGTCGATGAGGATGGGCGAAGGGCAGTTGCGCTCCAGGACAGCCGGCTCCACCTTGACCGCGGCAGGCGGCACCGAGGCCGAGCCCATGGAGTTGGTGCGGATGCGCTTGCTGCCCTTGGAGTCCTCCGAGCTGGAGTTCAGATCCATGTCGGAGAGGGGTTTGCT